GGGTTAATATTTCTGAATCCTAGACCCTTTTATTTTTAAGTTTACATATCTTATCCCATCCTATAAAATGATATTTTCTATTATTTAAGGATCCCCAAATAAATCTTTTACACATAATATTAATTTCATTACAGACCGATTTAGGGACAACCATTGTTTGCATAAAATAATGAGGAATATTCATAATACAAGCTTGAGCCATAATAATTCTACTAGCAAAAGATAAAGAATTCATTTTCCAAGTTGAGAGTTTTCTCTTTAATTTGTCAATTATGAAAATAAAATCTTTTCTAGAGGGCTTAGTATAACTTATAGGGGTACCAAGGTATTTACCAAAGTGGGGAGAACTCTAAACCCCAAGGATAACTTCAATATTATGTTTAATCACATGATCACAGTTTTTGGAAAAATAAATGAAAGATTTTTCTCTATTCATAGAAAGGCCAGAGGTAGCACAAAACTCATTCAAAACAGAATTCACAATATTAGCATTATGCAAATCAACTTTAACTATTAAAACTACATCATTTGCATAAAAGAGATGGGAAATTTTAGGACCATCATTATTGAAGGAAAAAGGAACCCAGCTATCACTGGTAACCTAATCCTTGATTAAGTGTGATAGCCTTTCTATACACATTACAAAGAGGTAAGGGGATATAGGGTCCCTTTGCCTTATACTCCTAGAAGGGTTAAAACTCTCAGTTCTAATGTTATTCCAATTGATAGACATGAGAAAATGCATTGAACTATAAGGTCTGAAATTTTTTTTATTATAACCGATTAATTGAAGAGTTTTAGAAATGAAATTCCTTCTAGTTCTATCATAAGCCTTCTCTAAATCAAGCTTGATGAGCATGAAACCAGATATATTCTTAATTTTATCAAAAGAATGAACAAGTTCCTGTTAAATAAGAATGCTATCTATTCCCTGTCTTCCAGGGATGAAACTGGTTTAGTTAGCAAAAATAATGTGGGATAAAGATCTCCTAATCCTGTTAGCTAAAATTTTAGTTACAATTTTATAACTCATTGTAAAAGGATATAGGTTTAAATTGTTTTATAAATTTAGGATTCTCAACTTTGGAGATAAAAGTGATAATAGTATCATTTATAGCAACCATCTCTATAGGGTTTGTAAAAATGTTAGAGACTAACTTAAAGATATGCTGACCTAACATATCCCATTGATTCTTAAAAAATAGGGCATAAAGCCCATCAGGGTCAAGGAACTTGAAACTACCTATGCTAAAAAGAGGGACAAGGGTCATAATATAAGTTTTTAAAGTGGTGCACAACAAGCCTTTGGAGAGATAAATGGTCATAATCTCATTGATTATTAGCATCCCTAAGGGCCTCAATTATCTTGTGTTGTCTATGAATAGCTATAGCACGATAAAAAAACTTATTATTCCTATCACCCAACTTAATCTAGCTAGACTTGTATTGGTGTAACCAACAAGTCTCCTTTTGATCCATAATTTTTTGGTAATTTCTCCATAAAGTTTTCATAAGTTGGCTAAGAAAAGGGTTATCTATAGTTCCTAATTTACATGAGATATCCCTAATTATTCAGAAGTCTTCTTTTCTTTTGAAAAATATTTCCAAAGATATTCACGTTCCAATCAGAGATATTATTTTGAAAAGTAGAAACTTTCTCATACTAGGATTTAATGACATCCCAAGATTTACTAACCTGATGGCTGAAATCCTCATGAGACAACTAAGGAGCTAAGAACTTAAAATCCCTATGATAAGGTCTAACATAGTCTTCATTTCTAATTTTAAGACAAAGGCCTGCATGATCAGATTTTAAGAGGGGCAAGTGAATGAGGGAACTATTGGAAAAAGACATACGCTAAAGGTCATTCACCACTACCCTATTAATTTTTTTTCCTAATATTACTCCTCTGCCAAGTAAAGGGAATTCCTTTGAATCCCAAATCTTGAAGACCACAAGTACTAAGGCAATTAGCAAATTGATTAATAAGGGCCAAATTAGCAGGTCTACCCCCATTTTTTTTTCTCTCTAAACAAAATGGAGTTGAAATCTCCAGCAACACACCAAGGTCCATCAATGGACTGACTAAAATTAATTAACTGTCTCCAGACTTTAGATCTCTGATTTTCCTGAGGACTTACATAAATGGTTGAAAGAGTCCAAACTCTATGCCCATTATTAATTTCAAGATGAATGAAATGCTTATTTTTATCTAACAGTTCAATTTGAACTTTCCTAGAATTCTAACAACATCAAATTCCTCTAGAGAAACCTAAGTCATCCATCTTAACAGATTCATTAAAGTTAAATTTTTTGACCACCATATCAGTTCTTTCAGACGAAATTCTAGTTTCAAAAATTGAAATAAAATCTAGATTGTACATTTTAGTAAGATCATTAATGAGTCTAGGAAAAGTTTTGCCCCAGCACCCCTACAGTTCCAAAACAAGCAATTCATAACTAATTACAGCAATTTGGAGCATCTACAAATTGCTTAGAGAATCTAATTTCATTGGAAATATTTACATGATTATTCAGATCTACAAGATCTAATTTATCAACCTTTATCTCTAGAAAGGACCTTGGGGGTTTATCTGAGGGGTTTATAATTGTATTTGTTTGATTTTTTTCATGGAGTTACATGATTGAGACCCATGAGGTCTAGAAAGTTATGGCCCCCTTACAATTCTCTTGGATATTTTTTTGAAAAATAAACATTAGATTTAGAATTTCTTTATTTTCCTACACTAGCCTATTCTTAACTATATCTTGATCATAAGTGTTAGTGCTAGTAATTTCTACTTGATAGATTTGATCCCTATCTTTCTCAGATTTCATAGGTTTAGGTGGAACCTTGGCTTTGGAGTTCCTTTTCGCAGTCTCTCCTAACCTATTATTACTCATGATTTTCCTCTCCACTACATTGGACACACAATCCTTAGTAGTTACAGTAAAGCCTTTAGAGATAGCTGGGATTTGTTGTTCTGTAGGATCTAAGGAAGTGATAGGCTCCTCAGCTAGGTCTCTTAGGACATCAAACCTAGAACCCAAATTAACTTTCCTTACTTTTCCAGATTTGGAAATGGTTCTAGAGGATTGATTATAATTGGATTTTTTCCTAACTTGTTTCTTTGCTACTAGCATCTAGGGACCAAAATGGTCCTCCTTAATCACAACTTCACTACCCATGTCCTTACTAATCTTTGTCTTGCTGATACATTCACTATCATTGGGTTCTCCCTCACTGCCCCTCTATCCCTAATAAGGGGATTCTCCACCTCCATATTTGTTTGGATATTTTTCTCAATAATCCCACATTATTCTTGCCTATGTCTATATCTACCACATTTGAAATAGATTAAATGTAATTCCTCATATTCTACTTTAAATTTCTATCCTAATACCTTAAAGGTTGGAACTAGTTCTCTCCTAAGATCAATTTCAATGCATATCCTAGTAAATTTCCACGAGATAATAATGAAGTATAGGGGTCAACTTTAAGCATTGACCCCAAGCAAGCTCCAACTTGTCAAAGAAACTTGATATTATATAACTTTATAGATAAATCTGGTATAGGAACTCAAACAACAATTTTTTCGAAATTATAGTCTTTGGTCCTAAACAAAGATTTTCATCTCTGCACCAGCAAATAGTGGTCAAGAATCAGCCAAGACCCTTCAAAAAAGGGCAATTTTATAATCTTCTATTTTCTCAAATTTCATAAAAAAACTCATTATTTAAGTCCAAAATTTGTAAGAAACTGTTCTTATCCCAAATGTTATTAAGACGTTGCCTAAAGTAATTAAAGCTCACCAACTTACCTAACAATTATTAAACCTCATAATTATTTCTTTAACATCAATATAATTAATAAAGAAAATTGCCTTTTATAAAGAATACTACTAGTTTAAAACATTTTTTTGAACCATGAAAATGTAAAAAAGAATTGAAAAGACTTCCCCCCTTGACGTTTCCAGGTAGTTTCTCTCTCTATGCAATTCTAGATTTTGAATCTTTCATCGTATGTGTAGTAGCAGAATGTCAGAATTGGTGATACTTCAACATGGGTGTTAGGGTATAACAAACATGTAAAAAGATTATTTGTATCTGAAATAAAAAAAATAGACACCTGTAAGATATGGGGGGTTTAAAGAATCCAATTATATCTTGTTTTTACAGGAAATGATAAAAATAAGAGAGCATTTGCATTATGTGTTGCTTAAGTAGACGAAAAGAATATGATGGGAAAAGATGCCAAAAGTAGAGTTGTACTAACATCAAAATTGTCCCATAATCTATGCTTTAAAAAAAGTTTTTTTTTTCTTTACTTCTATAATATCTACTCTTTTATAATTAATTTCCTTTATTTGATAACTTTTTTTTATTTAAAATGTTTTAAATCAAGAAAAAAAATTTATACAAAGACGGGTGTTATTATTTTAAGGGAAATATTATGCATTATGTGAAAACTGACAAAGTTTTTCTTGGAAAGAGATTTCTATATGCAGTAATGACTTGCTTTAGTTTATGTACATGTACCTTTCCATTCCTATCCAAATGACGTAAAGGGTATTAATCAGTTTCTTTAAGTGCTTTATGGAATTTCTGTTTTACTTTTAAGCTTGCACTTCCACTTTGGTTTCAAACAATTTCAAATAGAAGAGCAAAATCGTTGTTAAGATTGTGTAAAAGGAAATCTTGCTTATCACTTCCTAGATGCCAGAAAGTTGTCAACACTTGTTATTAAAAGAAAAAATAAAATCTGAAAGCAAAAGAGCAAAGCAAGTTTCGGAGTTTATAATCAAAATTGAGACACTTTATTGACAGGTTACACAAAATAACTCCTTCAGAACATCACTTACTACCATGTGACTCCACACTTTATGCAACACAATTAATCCCAACTCTAAGCTCCAAGATTTTGGAGCCTTATCTATCTGAGACACAATTTTGTAGTACTATTCTCAACAGAATTCAAGACTAAATGAAAAATTAAAAATTAATAGAAGGGAGTAACTAAATTGTGCACACTGGCTTTGCTTGTAGCACTACCTACATTGAAATTACAAAAAACATCATCCAAGTTCCATAGTCCATCCCACAAAAATTCTTCGTTTGAGGACTCTGGTGCAGAGACATTGTCATTGTCATTGAGCAAAGAGTAGAAGTACCCCTGCTGTTCCATTGTAATTGGGTACATGCTCACCATTTCTTGGGTCTCTTGAGATATAGAAGGCACTCTATGGTCATTTTCTTCAAGCAAGTTTATGATACCTTTCATGTCCAAGTTGAACTGAAGCTGTTGTTGCTGCTCAACCTCCTGCTGCTGCAGCTTCTGCTTCAACTGCTGTTGTTGCTGTTGAAATGTTTGCCTCCTTGAGGAACGAATTTTAACCTTTGCAGCAGCATCGGAAGGGGTTTTAGCCTTTTTCTTGAAATGGGTCCTCCAATAATTCTTTATTTCATTGTCTGTTCTTCCTGGTAAGCTTCTTGCAATTGTTGACCACCTGAACAAGTGTTTTTGATTTAGCATCAAATAAAGCTTTTTTTTTTTTTTATAAAGCTCTTGAAGCTCTCTACATTCAAGTTCAAAAGATAGGAAATTCAAGTTTGTTTTTTTTACCTGTTTCCCCACCTAGCATGCAGCTCTAGAATTATGCTTTCTTCTTGTGGTGTTATCTGACCCTTCTTGAGGTCTGGTCTCAGGTAATTCACCCATCTCAATCTGCAGCTCTTCCCATTTCTTTTTAGTCCTGTTAAGAGAATACATAATCAATCATATTGTACAAAAGAGACATACAAATTCTGAAGGGTAAGACTCAAAAGAGTTAAGAATCATTAATAAAGACATGGTCAGAACAAGCCAAGTGAAGAACTAAAACATGGGCAGTCAAGTGAAAACTTGTTCTGTTGCTATTGTGCTGTCACTTGTAATGTGGAAAAGTCAATATCCAACTAAGGAATAAACCATGTTTGGAAATACAGTGTAAAAAGTTTGGTAGTGACCTGCAAGCCTAGCAACGGAATTCCATCTGCCTTCACCATGCAACCTGACATACTGAATAAGCAATTTATCCTCCTCAGCAGTCCAAGGTCCCTTTCTCCATCCATCTTCTTCTATTGCACCCCATCCCATGTTTCCTGCCATAACTCCCCAATACATACAAAAAGGCTTTTTTCTAAGTTGGCTCCTTGGTAAAGTTTGTTTTATAAATTCTATGGTACAGATTTGTGTTCCATGTTTGTTGCATATGTATATTTATACCAGCAGCTGGGCCTCAACTTGACTCTATCAGTCAACCAATGGTTGTTTTCTTAGAATCCCAATCCATTTCACTGTTTAAAGCACGGGTCTTGTTGTCTACCAAAAAAAGTTAATCTTTTTCCATATAGAATTAGAATTGGTTCAAAATCATAATCTCATCTTGACAATTTTAGTTAGAGGTAGTCATCACTCATCACGTTGAGTCTGAATAATATTAATAATAAACCATTCATATGTGGCCGGTGGAGGTTGGAGTGCAACACATTTGTTACCATAATAACGGGGATGCAGTGGTATGAAAATAAATGAGTGATACTTTAGTAATAGTTACAGTGAAAATAATGATAATAATAGAGTTAGGGACAATAATAGTAAAAGAAACAACAATAATAATATTTAAAGATGAAAATAGGTTAAGTCACAGGTTAAGAGTTCTACGACTTACATCAGATCAAGGTATATTTAGGGGGAAAAATTTGCATCAGGGCTTTTTTAAAAATATATTTAGTTACAAGAGTAGTTCCTGAGTCAACCAAAAAGCTTTTATGTATGCTGGGCCAACTTATTTAAGTAAATAATAGTAATGATAATAATAAAGTGAGCCCATAATAATTATATAATTTTATTATACTGAATTTATATAATAATATTTAAACTTGTATATTTATTTTAAAAAATTGTATATAAGTTTAAGTTTATTAGTGTACTTACAAATATATTTTTAATTTATTTAACATACTTTATTATATATAGTAAACTTTTAAATAAATTTTCACGTTGGATTAAATTTTTAAAATAATCAGGTCAAACTTAAAAAAAAAAAACTCATATTATATAAGCAGACTAGATTCAAACTTTAAATTTAGAAAATAAAATAGTGTTTGAACGAGATAATTATTTTAAAAAATAAATTTTAAGAAATTTAAATTATATTATTTAAATTATTATTATTTTAAAACATTTTATTTGGATAGAATAATTGAATTATTTTAATTTCAATTAATTTTGTTAGGATAGAGTAATTAAATTATTTATATTATTAAAAAAATTATTATTATATTTGATAAAATTAATCTAGAGTATAAAATTTAAATTATTAAATTAATCAAAGCTAAATAAAAATATGAATGAAACACACAATAAATGAAAAAATAATTTCAAATTATTACTTTTTTAAGAATTTCAATTTCTTTGATTTTATTGTATTAAAAATCTCTACTAAAATTTCTAGAATTTTAAATTATTTAAAATTCAATATCCAAAAAAATATATTTTAACCCATAAAATTTTAATTTCTTTTAAAAAATACTCATCTCTAAGTTCTTGAATTTGATAAAGTATAGTATAACCATCCTATTTCCCACCCCTTGATTATTTACATGTGGTTGATGTTAGCCTTACCATTTGATAAGCACATGGTGTAAACAAAATCTACTTCCTCACCAACAAAATCCTGAGGTGATGAAGGGGTTGGAAGATTGCAAATAGTCAATGATGCACTTACATGGCACTAAACAGAAGGGCATATTAGAAAATTCAATAATGTGCTAAGCTAATAGGTGACATGTTTAACTAAGGATAAAATTAAACACATGATATTAGTTTGATGCAAAGGAGAGAGAAATGTTGTTGTTTGACACGTGTAACAGGGCTGATGCATCTGGACACAGAATTAGTACTAGTTTAAGAAGCATAATCTAAAGAATGCACATAAAATAGTAAGGTTAGTGAGGTTTTTTAGAGGTGAAAATTACAAGATCCCCAATGGGCATTCCCCAGGTGTTGGATTGCTTACCTCTTTCGGGGATCGATGTATAATGTCATTAAAATAGAGTAAAAGTGGATGCCATTTCGGGTATTGGATGAATTAAATATTATCGTCATGATGGGTTGAACGTCACTTGGGACAGGTGTTGCCTCCTAATTATTTACTATATTTTATATAAACATGGTGCTTTCTCAACTGCTGGAACCATCAAACTTTCCATGCTTCTCAAAGAAATTGTAATATGTTGATTAAAACTTTTTATTTCAGTGTTTTTACCTTCCATTTATTCATACTTAAACTTGAAATTATATATTAAATTATAATAAATCCTATTAATTAATTTATGTGTTTGATGGTACATAATTAATTCATATTTTAAAATATTTGCAATAACTCTATAAATAAAATCTCATAATTGTAAAAATTGATCTGTTTGAATTAATTGATAACTTATTTCGTTTCAGTTCAAGTAAATTATAGGTGAATTGTGTCGTTAAATCAATGTAAACTAGTTTTAATTAATTTAAAATTAAGTGCATATAATAAAATAACATAAATTAAAAACGATAAACATAAATTTTTATTTTTATTTTCAAGTTTTTGTTAAATTTTTTATTACATTATTGATAGACACAAACTTTTATGCATATTCACAAACTTTTGTTACTAATGTTAATTACGTCATTGATAAACGTAAACTTTATTATGTATATTAATGATGAAAAATATTTTAATAAATTACTTAAATAAAAATAAAATAATTAATTAATAATAAACATATTAATGTATATTATTAGAATATCGTTAATAATATTGATGACTAAATAAATTACGCACCAATTGCTAAAATGATGGCTAGTGTGACTAAATAATATGTTTATTATTAATTAATTATTTTATTTTTATTTAAGTAATTTATTAAAAAATATTTTTATCTTTTAAAATTATATTAATAAAAAATGTTTTACCTAATTTTTTTTAATAAAAGTGACAATAGATATTTTTTTAAATAATTTGATAATACTTCTAATGCATTAAGTATTATTAATTAAATCATAAGAACTTTAAGCCAACCCAATATTGAAAAACGATTTTTTTTATATTTAATGAAATTTTCTTGGAACGAAAAACAATATTAATTAAGGGTTGTTTTCCTTTTACAATTAGTGAACCAATCAACTTAACGCCATCACAATGCAATGTATGTGAAAGTACAATTAAGTTTTTCTGAATAAGTATACATATGTTAAGGAAAACGATGCATTAAATTTATCAAATAAGTATATATATTATTTATCAATAAACCTTTCTCCTAGAATTTAAGATATGACTGTCACGGCGTGTGATTTAATAATTTTAATTTAAAGATATGAAAAATAAATTAACATATTTAAAGTTATATAAAACTATTTTTTTAATATAATTATGTACTATTACTGAAAGATCAAAGAGGCCGAATTCATACTTGACCATTTTATATTACTCTATATTCATATAACTTATTAACTCCCAACAAGGTAAGAATAGAAGTGGAAAAGTAAACATGTGATGGGCGATGATAGACACAATAAGATATGTGAAGTTTTATAGAACTATCAAATTTTTTAGGGTCAAATTTTAAAAATATTTTTTGCAAATGTAAACTTCGTTGTTTCCAATTAAAATTAATATAAATATTAGGATAAAACTATAAATTCTAAAATTATTTTTAAATACTTAATAATACTTATAAATTTAAAAACAATTTATATTTTTTTAATTGACAGTTATCATTCCTCTAATATCTTAAAAATAAAAGAATATTATATTTTTTTTAAAAAATAAACTACTGACTTTCATTATTTATTATATTTATTTAATATAAAATTGACATTAATAATCATTTTATATATGAGAGGATATAAAATACTCTTAATTTTTAAAGTACCATAAAAATTATCTTGTTTTAATAATATTATTTAGTTTAACAAAGTTTTAACTCAAGATTCATCCTAGATATGTTGTTTAATAATAATAATAATAAAAAAAGGTTGTTTAAGGGCGATTTTAGCTTTATTCTACATTCATGTTGTTTCTTTATTCTTTTTTATATTTTAAGCTGATATTACGGTCCTCCAAGAATTCAAGTCGATTGTTGATGAACAGTTAGAAATTAACTCAACTTAATTATCTCTGAAATTGAAAGCAACAATAAATAATCAAATTGTCTTGGTCAGTTAATTTGGTATATTTTCTGATAATTTCACCTGTTCACTGGCTACACCTTAGATGGAGCATCTATAATGCGTTTAATTTGTGTCTCAAAGGAAATAAGAAAAAAAGGAAACAGAAAAGAAGAAGCCTGAACCCCACTAAGCCTAATAATAATGTTCCAGTTCTTTTAATTTAAAAAATGACATATAAAAATGTATATATCTAGGAGACTCTACTAGTAATACCTGTGTGGTACGGATCGATCATCATCTTAATAAAGTAAAATCCATTATATATATACTTGTACTACTAGAACACTTTGTTTAACAGCTAAGCATGTGTGAGCACTTAAATTTTTTATAAAAAACTAAAGGTGAAAGAGAGGATCGCATGTGATTTCTTGTGTTCAACATTTTCTTTTTGTATGTGTATAATGTTTGTTCTTTTTGGGTGTCTTTTCAACATAGATTAGGATCAAGGTTTTGTTATTGCCACGGGGACACTTGAGTATTTAAAATGTTGAACCATTTGTCTTTCTGATAATTGTTTAATATGATACATATATACTGTGACGTGCCTTCTAGAAATTCATTTCTTAATTAGTGAGATCAAACTTTGACCCTCCCCCATTTAACTTTGATAAAATTTAAAAGTTATGAGTGAGTTTTTTCACATCAAGTTCTTAGAAGATTAATTTTGAGTTCATCGTCAACACAGTCCTAACATGACTAAGACCTCATCGTATGCTTTGTGTTTGTTTGTAAAGGAATTAATACTCCAAAAAGTATGAAAATTGATACAAAAGATATGAATATCAATTGTAGTAAAGATTAATCACAGCAGCTAATAGAGTTGGAAACTTAAGACAGTTAAGAAAAGCAATAGTCTATAATAACTTATTGTTAGGTTTCATGCAAATTGTATTATTTATTCTTAAATGATAGATTAACACCAAGTTTAACAATTTTAGAATGATATTACGATCTCTAAG